GTTGCAAACCTCTTTTCGTAGCGGTTTACTTTTGTTTTTGACAAGTAATTTTTATTTGTTTATATAGTTTTGCCAAACTGAAGATTGTTTGCAATCAGGGGATATCCCATTGCCAATTTTGTTGTTCATTGTACACAGGAAATTTGCTGTTATTATGTAATACATGTAAAATCAATACAGTATGTATACTGTAAATCTGGAAATTTTTGCTGTAGATAAATTTTTAGCAAATTTGCAAGTTCATTGCATTCGCAAAAATAATTTTCTTAAAAATAAATTACCAATAAGAAAATGTAAACAAAGCAGTGGTCATTCGCAAAACTTTGAAACGTAAAATTTAATCAACAGCATTTTGATTCGAATTCGCAAAATAAAATCGACGTAAAAATTTCCAGATTTACGGTATAAATTTTGATTAAGAATACCTCTCAATATATTAACAAAATATAAGTTTATTGTACTTAAATCAAACACGATATATAATCAGTATACAATATCTGCTTCCAAGGAATCCACTCTTTAAACTCTAAACACAAATTGGTTTTTTGATGAGTGTTCCCTCCTTTTTTTATTTTTTAAAATATTTTTACTTTAAACATCCTACGTAAAAAATGTAACATTGTAACCTATTTTAGTATTTTCCTGCAACGATGGAAAGTGTGACTAAGTCAAACATTTTAATTACTCGTATTTGTCAACATAGAGTAGTAACATCATCAAGTCAAGATTGATGTTAAGTAGGATGATGAAAGTAGTACTACAACTAGGAGGTCTGGGCATCAGAGACACGTTTTACATAAAAACTCAATACCAACATTTCCTGCATGATATTTACACACTGAGGGGAACTGTTTTTTATGTACTAATCAAATTAAATTCGTTTTATTAAATGTACCCCAATGAAGTTTATTGTGCAACATTGCATGGTAGTGCCTCGAAATTCAGCGATTATAATGGGCTAACAAGACTTTGAAACGTTTTAAGTACACAACAACCCTAACGGTATGATAAGATTTTTTAAAAGTCCATGTTATACACTGCTTTCATTTGAGGAAATATATGTATATTTCTTTTAAAGTTTAAGTGTTCATACTTTTTACAAGTTTTTATCTTTTTTTATGATACCCCACATCCCCCTGATAAACGTTACTTTGAGTCTATCTTCTGTATCTCCGACCGTTTTTTGGTCCTCATAAGAATAGTTCACTTATAAGAGATGGTAGAAATTGCCTAAAAGAATGAAACATGTTTATCACCATTTATGAGAGTGTTCAAGAACTATGCACACTGACTCTCTATCCTCGCCAACAATTTACCTTCATCTAATTTTAATTAAAAGTATAATTGGCATTTTGGACATTTATATGTTGACGGTGCGACCGTTATTGCGAGCGCAGATATTTATTTTGTTATAATTTAGATCGGGTTCGTCAAACTGCAAGTGACATTTGGTGCGTCTAGACTCTGACGTCATATGACGTCGTATGTACGAGGGTTGATCCAAAAGTAGTGTCACAGTGTCCATATCTTTTATATTTGGCGTCATATTATCAAATATTATATACCAAAAGATGCACAAATATAAATTTAATTAAACTTTAATTTTTCATTCAATAATGTTGAACTGAATTTATTTTATAGATGTAAAAAACATATAAGATACATGTAGGGGGTGTCGCCGCGTCAAAACCGAACGTGACAAATTAAGTGTACTTTTTTAAGTATAAAAAAGACAAACACTTAAAAAGCATCTTTTAAAAGCGCCTAAACGCAAAATACTTTAAAAGACAAAAATTTACATCATTTTCTAGTCTTAAATTGAAAATTATATGACATCACTGACAATTTTTTAAAAAAAAAAAAAACATCGTTGATTTGTTCTGGTGCATTGAAAAAAGGAAATGTCAAAATGGACAAAAAAGCCAAAACAAACTGTAATGCATTTTTGCTTCAAAATGGAGAAATCGCCAGTAGAGACAGTTACGTTGATTCACCAGACTTTCGGAGGAAAGAATGTAAATAAGAGACGTGTTTAGATGGTTTCAGCGATTTTCGGTGGGTGATGGGTCATTAAATGCTCAGCAGATGACAAGAAAACCGAAAGATGGGAGGGCGGACGGAAATGTTCAATGGTGCGTGACGTTGTCAGATAGACAGACGGATAGAGCGATATGTGAAATTTTAAGTTGGTCTTTTACTACTGTTCAATGAATTTTGACAGAATTAATTATAAAAAAAATGAGTGTACGATGGGAACTAAGGGTAAGAAAGTGAAATTTGTGAACGTGTTCGTGGATATCATATATTTTTTAATGAAACGAAGGGAAGCGTTTAAATGTATGACGGCGCGTATCCGTCATATGACGCTATTTAGCTGCGGCGACTACCATAATCGCACGTTGTATATAATCCGATATTTTGAAAAATATAAATCATGTTGAATTGAAATTTTCAGGTCTGATTTGAAATAAATATAGCTTTCATCATTTATAATTTTGTTGTTTTACGTCGATGGATAGCGATTTTATCGAAGTTGTGACATTACTTTTGGATCAACCCTCGTATGTTACATTTCTAAAAAGAAGTCTGAACAGTGCTGAAAGTAAATGAAGAACGTTTCGTTTAACTATTTATCTTCAATATCTATCCATTAAATCAGGGCATGCTTACTTTTAGTTGAACTTTTGTTGCTATTCTCGCGAGAACGTAGCTTTAACAAGTGATGCATTGTGGGTCCAAATTACTGCGTCAAAAAATTCTATCGAATGAATGAATGTGTGCAGTAGTCCAAATTTTCTCTTCGCACAGGCGTTGCTTTAAGAGCTCGCAGTGACGAACGTCGCTTCGCTAATATCGTTTGAAATACAAACGATAGGTCATTTAGTTATTAATTTAGCATTGAAAAGATTTTTTACAACTCTTTTCATGAGGGGGTAGAGCATTTTTTGCATTGAAATCCGGCTTCATTACTATATTACAATGTGCACGGAAATGCACAAAACTAAGTGCATGCACTATATAGTAAACTTTTAATGACACAGATACATTGCCGAGTCTTGTAAATGATCTATCAAACCCTTATCCTTACTCCTGTTTACACTTTTGCGCACTAAAGGCATATGCTGTATTGCTATAAATTATTCCGAAATCCCAGGAAGTTTTTTTTTTTTTTTTTTTTTTTTTTTTTTTGAAAAAATAGGTTCCATAAAATTTTTTAAGAAAATCAATGAATTCATAATCTATTCCTTTACAATAGTTTACAATCATTTTTCAATATAATTTAAATGCCAGATTACGCCAATTAACTTCTTATTCAATAGACATGAAACTTTGAAATATTCATATCTTGTTATGAATCATCCACAAAATTACTTTGTTTAAAAGAAACATCCGAACTCGTCCTGAATTGAGATAGGGTCGTCCAACCATCTTTGAAATTTAACTAGGCATTTATTCTGTTTGTTTATTAGTTGAACTGTTTTTTTATTCTCATGAGGCAGAATTATTTTAAAAATATACAAGAGAAAAAGAAAATTATTGATTGTCCTTCAACTTGACATTAAGTTATGTTGACAAAATATGCTTAATAAACAATAGTCATGTCGACTCGATATACCTATGTGAAGGACACCAAAATTCCGATTCATTTGGTTCATATTTTATACTTTATTAAAAACTTAACTTTGTGATAAAGGAAAAGACGTTGGGTATTCCATCGTCACTTTTCCCTACTAACGTAGTTATATTCCAATATTACCAGCATATGGTACTATGGTCTCCCAACTGTGTACAATAGCATTAACTTGTGAACAAAAGCATGAACTTTTGCTGCTATTCTTGCCAAGACAGGCAAAACTACTACCTCGACTTAGCCAGGATTGAGCACAACGCGCAAACCCAGTCCAGGCAAAACCTCAACAACAACACGGGACAATCAGCTAGGATCGGAGACAGTTTAGTTTTCCCCGCGAAAAACTCTTTGTATTAATATAAAATACAAATGTAAATAAAATAAAAATATAAAAATCAAAATTACAAAATTTAAGATGAAATATCTATTCAAATAAGGAGCCGTGCAAATACAGACCTCTAAAACATAAGAGGTTGGATCAGGTGCCATGTAGGAGTGAGCCTCACCTTTCATCCCTGCCGTGTGCTTCTTGTCATGATCGGGAAATAACGCAAAAAAAAAAAATTGTTCAAAATTCATTGCAACAATAATGACCTAACTCTAAGTATGAAAAAGATAGTCATCACTAATTTAATGCTAGATTGTATTTGCAAACAAGTTCACATTATCAACCATAGATCTTACGAAATGATGACTTAAAATGAGATTTTTTATATTCTTGTTTCACCAACATTTTGTCAATTACTTACCTTGCTGTAGGAAATGTTCATACGTAGAGTATCCTCTTGCGTATTGAATCAACGGAATGCTAAAACCCACCTACCGATGATTACTACATAAGTAAGGGAAGTTAGCGATTGAAAAGTTACAATGAATATGTTTATCGTAAAGCTTTGATGTTTGGTTACCATTGACGTCTTTTTCTAGTAAAATATCGATAATGTCGTCTCAAGCTCACTGGAATATTCGATGTCGACATGTGAAGGGAAATAACTTTTGTTAAAGTCTGCTTCATATGGATACAAAATTAGTTCTTTTAACGGGGAGCAATTGGTACCGATGGAAATTCCAATTAACAAATTGTTGGTATACTGTATTTACTTCAAATTATTCCGTTATCTGATTAATACATAAAGATAAGAAGGACTTGAGTGAAACGAACTCTTTTAGGACAGCTGAACCCACATCTGGTGTGTCTAAAGGCTTGTGTTTTGCCCCTTTACGTTTTAGTGACAAAAAGGATTTATGACATTTAATTATCACAGTGTTATTTTTTACAATTATCATTTCAAAAGTTTAATGAAAATATAATATTTTTATTATGATGGACTCATTACATATCAATATTTAAACTATTCTTTTCACTCATGATTTTTGATATAAAATTGTTTGAAATTTTTTTAAATTCAAAAATAAGTATGAAAAATGTTGAGATATCAAAATTCGATATGGAACTTGTTGTACAATATCTCTACATAGAATTCTATCTATCCATCAAATCTGAAGCGTTATTGAGAATTAGGATCTTCATCTATCGCTCTCAAAAAAGTCGATTACTTCACAGTATTGAGGAGTTTCGTTGGTACATGTAATTGAATCTCTTTGATTTTCGTTCCTCGTCCGTGTTATTGGTTCTACGTATTCTGCCCCTGACCCAGTTCCTTCTAGAGGCACTTCTAGCTGTGTATATACAAGGTCACTCTGTCTTTGAACGTCTCCAGCGGTCACGTATCTAAAATATAAAAATACTTACACGTCGTTTTCCATATTTGTATTTTTCTTATTTCGAGTTTCTGATTAAAATATTATGGCGAACATGATGTTTAAGACCCACAGCTACGAAAAGAGGCTTTTGTTATAACTTTCTTATTTTATAAAGTCTGAAAAAAAGAAGGAAAAAAGAGATGAGTTCAATTAAGAAGCAAGGAATATAAGCATTAAAATTCTCTCTTCGTTAGTATAGGGACAACAGTTCCTTCAATGCCTAAATTTATTTTTACTGGATTTGAAAGCTTTTGTGTAATTTTTAATGATCGTTACCGTTTGTCCCTGCATTAACAAACTAGAGTTTTACTTTAAATTTATTTATTAAGAAATATCTTTTTTGTAAAGTTGCTCAAGATTCACATGAACCATTGATAAAAGAGTCTACCTCTAAAGAAATTATTTAAAACTTTAAAATTGTTCTAACTAGTTAGTTGTTGATAAATTTATAACTGCAATCCGTTTTCAAAAGACATAATAAAGGAGAGAAACGTCAGAGGATGTGAATACTAGTATATTTACATCGAATGTTTGTGAGTTAAACTTGTAAAGAAATAATAAAAATAAAAAAAAAGAAATATGTCCCTTACCTAAATCGCAACTCTTTCCTTGGATTACTCTCCAATCTAAAAATATTTTAATAATTGTTCTTATCAATTTTTTTGTTAAACCCTAATCTATCTTATGTAGGTACGTTGCATCAGAAAACAAAGATTACTGTAACCTTAATGTTAACACTTAACAAGTAAAAACGAAATAATGTCCAAACTCTAAATTCTTCCAATGTGACTTGTGAAGAAGGGGGGTTCAAAGTTAAAATTTCGCCACTTTGATAAAGAAGGGTTTGATCAAATTGCCACTCTACACAGCTCTTATTTAACGACTGTTATCTTTACTTTTGAATGAGTCGCCTCATGGCGGAGTGGTTAGAGCGTCTGCTCTGCAGTCGCCGAGTATGTATGGTTTTTGATTTCCTAGATGAAATAAAGAAGAAAAATTGCAGAATAAACGGTTGTGATCAAACTAGCTATTTTCGCTTAAATGTAGTTTTTAGGGATAAAAGATGGGGAAGAAACTTACAGTGTGTTTGAGTGCATGGATCTCATTTTTCTTCATTCTTACTCTAAATGACTAAAGTCATAAGGTTTAAACTTTAAAACTCACCTTTTACGTTTCACGACCATGACACACAAAAGTATTATTACAAAGAGAACTATAACTCCAATAATTCCGGCTGTAAGCAATAGAGTCATGTCAATAGACTGAAATGGTGTTGAACTTGGCAAAATTCTGGTATCATTTGAAGAGGCGTTTTCTTTAACAACTGAGGTTGAATTAACGTTTTCAGTTGTCGTCGTGGAGAGTAGAGAGGAAGGTTTAGTGGTCTCTACTGATGACGTTGTGGGATCAGTGGTGGTATCTGGAAATGACGTCAGAACATCCGTGTTTTCTTCTTTTTAAGAATGATCAAATAATATATTACACACCTAGGCAAACTTGATATGATTTGAATGAAAATTTATATATGTTTTATTATTATTATTATTATTGTAGAGACCAGATTCTTAATATGGATAGTTCAAATAATAATGGCATTCTTTGACCTTAATAATTTTTAAATACCATCCATGCTTAGATATAGCTATTCAAACTTTACCAATTTTATAAATGAGCGTCCGAGAACCTTCACAACAGCGTGTTTGATTAAACTTCTCTTCAAACTGTCCGTTGACACGAATTTTTGTGAAAGGTTCGTAGCATGGGTTTTCATATTCCTCTGTGCATTCGTCTTTAATATCAATTACAGTTGCAAAGAATTGATCAGTGATAACAAATAAACTGCAAGTTTCACAAAAATTGGGATAAACACAGGTTATCTTTTTCGTCCTCTCCATTGATATTCTAAATATATTGAAAAAAAAATTATAGCATATTTACTACATTTAAATGAAATCAGTGTCAGATATCAATTAAAGAAATGCTAACATTGCACTTAAAAAATGTTGAGAAAGTTTACACATAGCCATTAGCTTAGTATCTTTGATATAATGCAACTTTTTAACAATATTGGCAATTTGCTGCTTAAGCTGTACAACATCCAAGAACCTAGAGGAGGGTGAGATAATTTTTATTCTTCCCGAGTAGATATATATTCCATTTGAACACAATATTGACTTTATAATTGTTTTATTTCATGATGACATTCTGCAAGAATTGAGCAGATCAGAGGACAGTCTATAAATAATAGACTTAAATAATAAAACTACTTCATTTGAAAAAAAGAGATGCTGGAACCTGAAAATTACGTATGTCCAGTCAACGGCTTATTCTGGCACTGACCTGTTGAAAAATGCTAATTATAGTTTCCTCTATAGTAAAAATTGTAACATTCTCAGCATAAAATGAATGCGTATCAAATAAAATTTTAATTTTTCAATAGTGTTGTAAAGCCTTATTTTAACGAAATTTCCATGCGTATGATGTCAGACTTCCTCTCTACTCAATTGCTTTTCTTACAAGCTATATTTCGATAACATTCTGTATTGAGAGGCCTTTCCCTTTCTACATTGATGATACAATTAACAACGCGATGTAGACTTCATACAACATTCCTTCCGATTTAAAGCTTGAACTGAAGATTTTAACAATTATCAATAGAAACAATGTCGCTTGTTTCTCTTTTTACGTTTCTTTACTGTATATTGGATAAAGGTTCGAATGTTTTATTAAATCCAGTACTATCCCACATTTTGTCTTCCGATGACTCGTTATATCATATATTTCTTTAAACAAGTACATTTGTGTATATCCGTATTCATTAAATGCGATGAAATTCACAGAAAATAGCTCCCTATTTTTTTTCTCCATATCAAATATTTACCATTTTCAAGTTTACCCACTCATAAAATTCCTGAAAGTGTCATTTAAACTATGAATTCAAAGTTTTTTTTATAATACTTCATTCAATTGATCATTTTATACGGACTTTAGGTAATGGTTATAAGCCGAAAACTGTCCATTATGTAAGCTATTAGACGACCCGAGGCGCGTTAGCGCCAAAGACAGTCTAATATCTAACATAATGGTCAGTTTGAGGCTTAAAACTTACTTAAAACTTTTCACCACTGTCGAACACTTCCATGTTAACTTATTGGACAGTCTCAGGTAAGGTCTCGTTCTGCATGGATGACTACCTGGCACTGTTCATCAATTAAGGCCAAAGAAAACCAGTTTTTGTTTTTACTTCTGTCTTTATAAACATTAGAACATAACCTACTTTTTCAGCCAATCAAATGGTTCCATTTCTCGCGAAGAATTGATTCTTCATGGTGAAGAATTTTTCTATTTCCGAAATATTTTACGGTGTTTGATTGATTCACTCGACAATTATATGGGCGTGTTTTTATTGGTTTTTGTTCAGCGTACAAAAAGAAACTATTCAAAACCCACGTGCTGTTTACAATGATATTTAAACTTTCTAGGCCTTGCTACACTTTTTTCCCACTGTAATCTTTTGTCGCCTTTTTGAATATTATTTTTTTTTTCACATTTCGGCACATAGAGAAAATACAACCATCGTCATGTATATCAGAGACGAACCTTGTCTTTGAAGACAGATTTAATTACAATTTTCATCAAATTTACATTTGATATTAGACAGCGATACCCAATCCTGCTGACTAGGGCCTTGTCATCTCAGCACAATCATTTTTTCAAAAATATAAATATTACGATTCTTGTTAAATGGATATTCATTAGTTCAGACTTAACTTTAATATCTTCACCATACCATTCCCTCTGTAAATCAAGCTATTTCTTAAAATTCCGTGCTAACATGAATGGGTTGGGAGTCCATTCTGAAACTGCGTGTGTTCGATATTGATTGCGTGCTCGATATGTACAACGAGCGGTCAAGTTGAGCCTTATATATGACACAGCCGTGAGAGGAGTTTATTTGTAATCGATTCATTTGATTGGCTGAGGTTCTGTTCTAAGTTAGTAAGATCATAGAAGAGATTTCTCTTCATATGATCTTACTATTACGTAGGAATCATCGAGAGGTGTTTTATATCGATAAATATGAACATTAACTTTGTTTAGTCTTTTTTATCCGCATTGCGACATTTTTTATATATACTACGCATGCGTAAAAGTCAGTTCTAAAATCTTTACAATTTATTCATTTAACAACGCAAGGACCACGGATGACGACGTACATTTTAATTTTGAAATAAAGACCTTCAGAATCGGGTGTTTTGACGACGCCCTTTATCGATTACACCAAGATGGCTCAGTTCAAGATTTCTACTGTGAAATCCGGATATACATGTGTATTCTTATGTTTCGGAATTTGCAAGAAACAGTTTCCCGTTAACAGGTAATTTTGTAAAGCAGTAGAATTTGAAGTATTTCACTCCAACACTGTTTGAGCATTTTCTATGAAATTGGGAGATTATTTCTGATGTTTTTTAAAAATGCAACAGTTTCTCTTTTGTGTTCAGGTTTCGAACTCGGGAGGATTTTACTCCAGCCACTCCTTAAAACAACGACAGACACTCGCTCAAACAACGCGAGACTAGGTGGACAAATGGTCATAAATCACCGTTGGAATTTCGTGAGCGAAATTTTGTGCTAAATGCGGGAAAAAGGGATATTTGAATAAGCAAAAAGCCCAAGGTTATGTGTAAGAAAACGCATGCTTCTCATTTATCTTTTGTGTCCCTTGAATTCTATATATGTTCCGTGAATCAATCATTGTGAAATGAATCTATACTAGTCAAAATTTCTAAGTCCCCAGGCAAGTTTTTGCTTTACATCGATCTTATATTAAATTAATTTTAACAGAATAATTGAATAAGTGTACAGGATAAAAAATTTGCAAAACAATTTTTCTCACTTAATCTATTTTATTGAAGCACTTTAACACAATATGCTAAAACGTTGAGGCACCCTCGAATTAAAAATTCACAATGTTAAATACTGCATAATCCTCCATTCAAACGAATTCACAGCAAGACAACCGTTCCTCAAAGAATTCACGCTATTGAAGAACAATTCTTTTATTGAATGTTCTTTTCATGTGGAGACTAGGTCGTCCTTTAGTTCAGCTAGATTCTACTGCTGGAAAAGCTGTCTCACACTCCGCTCTATCTTCTTCCATACATGTATATAGGGTTGAGATTAGGATGACAAGGGGGCTTACTGAAATTTTCTGTGCCTTGCTGACAATAGTTACATAATGTCTCATTACATTCATTCTCCATTCCTCCAGTTTGACATTGAGGGGAGGCCACTTCCGGTTCCGGTTTCATTGATATTTCCGGATAAACTCTAGGATGATTTTGTGGTGTTTGTTGAAAATCTAGCGATTTCTAATGATTAAAAGGAATTCAGGTATGCTTTGTAGGTTTTTCGGGCAGTAATTATAAAGGTTTTAAGTAAAATAAAGTCATACAGTGAAAGGAAACAGAACTCTCGTTAACTACGACCAGATTGGGCCATTTCAACTTCACTTTCACATTGTTGTGTGGACATACACCGCATTTTAATCAATCTTTTTTTCTGTTTTTCGTTGTCAATTAAAAATGGAGAACACTTTGAAGTAAAAAATATAAAAATTACACCCGAAAAACATATGGAATTCGAACTTCATGCTTTTTAATAAAGACGGTCACGGATGAGTAATTACACATTCAATTACAATTTTTTTGGCCTTGACAGGTAAGTATTGAAAATCAAAGGTAAAATTGTAAGCAACTAGTACATTGAAGTTAAGGTTTTGAAATTTTTGAAAAAATAAAAGTGGGGACTTAGAAATTTTGACAAGTATATTATATAGCAATGAATGGTGAATTTAGGCAATTTATGATCGGGGCCACGGATGCGTCTACAATAATGAATCTGAGACATTCAATTCACTGTGGATTATTTGTGCCATTTTCAATAGGATTTTTTATGAAACATTAACATTTAACGCTACTAATTCCTACATTGTTAATATTAAATTTTTTGATTTGTCATTACCTTTTAAGTGCTGTTTATTTATTTGCCTTGCCCTTTGTTCTCCTTTGAATGTTACCTGTACCTGTCCAATAAGTTGAATCTTATTGGACACCTACAGGACTACAGGTAACTTATTGGACGGGGTGTAGGACAATAACAATTTTATTGAACCAGGTTTAACAAAAGATGACGTCACAAAAATGTTTTAAATAGACTTTATATGATAATTTATCCATAAACGTGCTGATTTCCCCCTGAGACCGTTTCTTCACTCAACATTATAAAGCTGTGAAGACTCTGTTTAGTTATACTGAATTTTTATTTCCTTATTTCAGAATCTCTGACAAAATAAGCAATGTACATTTGTTTCAGGTATGGCTGACAAAACCAGTGTAAATATGGACACTGCTTCTTTGTAGACGATGTTAACTTGTTTTCTAAACGATTGCAATTGTACATATGAATCATATCATAGAAATTGAAATCGGTCTTTTGTATGCCAATAAAAAAAGTCCTTAATATGCAGATCAATTGTTTCGTTAAACGTATCTAGATTGCCCGTTTGTAGGGGAAAAGGGGGTAATGTTGGTATAACGAAATTAATTCAACTCCATTGCCATTAACTTTACAAAATAGGCAACTTAAAAATGATATGAAAAAAGAAAGAAATGGGGGATAAAACTTACTTGATTAATCTTAGCCGTGGCACATTTATAAGGTGTCGTCAGATTCTACCTCTTCTATGTCCTACCCAATCACAAATCCCAAAAGTACAAAAAAAAAGTTAATACGACAATCGTACTTAAATTGTGGTAAACAAAATATACTTCCTTGACAAAATGAAGAGTCTAATGACTAACATTTCTCCAATTTACTAGTTAAGCAATAATAAAACTGTTAAATAGGAAAGACAATTAAATTCGCAACAAAGTCATTTGAATATTATACAGTTTATTTCATATGCCTTCGAGAATTTTCCTTGATATTGAATCATCACTTCTGTGACTATATTCTGCATATTTCCTCTATCAACAATAAATCTTTTTGATCACTTGACAACGTATCTAGATGATGTCAAAGTTTCTATTTTAAGGTATAAAATCCCTTTGAGAGAGAGATAACTCAAGAAATTAATCTAAGGAATTCAATGAATTGTTTTCACTGTTTTTTTCATAATTAACTGATTCAAATCCAAATTATGTTACAAATATTGATTTTTATTTTGTATTGCCGTTAATTTATCTTTAGGCTTTGCGCGTTATGCAAATTATCCCACGTGTCCAACTATCACTGATCCCTGGCATACTCTACTAACTAGACAATATATAAAGTGTATGGAATGGAGATAACGAATAGTCATTAAACTCAAAAGACGATTGAAACAATACAAATAGGAGCAGAGCAAATACAAACCTCTAAAAATCAGAGGAACAATCAGGAGCCATAAGGAGTAAGTATGTCCTGTTGAACAATTCCCCTCTGTCGCCTGACCCTTGTCATGAACGGAAAACAAATGTAAAAAAAAAATAGTTAAGTTAACAATTAGTGATTATTACAAATAATAACTTTTATGTGACATGTGCAGTGTTTATTTAGTTTTCACTTATTTTACCCATATCCGTCTTACGGGTATAAACGTCTTGTGGCCTAGTTTTAACCTAACCCAAAATTTTGCCCTTTAGCCAATCATAATTCAGCAATCTGCCATGCTGCATTCATTGAATTTTGATAGAAGCCACACAAATTTGGTGCAGTGAAATTTGTAAGATTTTGCGAAGTTTATTGATGTACCTACGTCCGTCGTCTGCAA